TTTAAATATGATAATGATTTGTTTCATTAAGCTTAGAGGTTTTTTTTAAATATTACTAATAAAAAATTTATAGACAATGACTATAAATCATTATGTGTAAGTATTATAGTTACTTTGATGTAACATTTGAATATAGTATAATTATAGTCACTAAAGTTACCAGAGACACATTTTTGTCTATTACTTTTGTTTTAATTATATATTTGGAATTATTTCTGAAGCTTATTGGTACTAGTTTAGCTTAGGTTCAACTGTGTCTGAATCTGATCCAGGTTAAGTAATTAGTCAATTGTGATATGATTTTGCAGTTGAGTCAATAGGTATAGTGGCGGGCTTAGGCATTAGGATAAGTGTATGCACACCTAATAATGCAAACAATATGTGACATCCTTATATGTGTTGTATTCTAACCAACTTTCAAACTCACTAAACCGGGAAGGGAAGAATCTTTTGGATTTAGTACCAAACATTTGTTGAGGAAAATTATGAGCTAGTACCCGATTTACAAGGCCCTCACCCCGAGGTTGCTTGGAAACGTGAAAGTTGCTAGCTTGTTTATGAATTACATCACCACTTAGTTTTGTAAGAGTAACAATGTGATGCATGAACATTGTATCTACAAAATATTTGAAACAAAACATCATTATTAATATTATCATTACAATACAAAATGTAATGTATACTGGAAAAATGAAAAAAAAAGTTTTACAATATCAATATATTCTATATACCATATACAAATATACACATTTGACATGTGTAATAAGTTTATAACATTATATTCTTATATTTTAAAGTTATCCAGCACGTATGAGCAAAAAATAAAATTACACATAATGGTTTAAATGCTAAAAAATTGAAATATTAAAGAATACAATACATGTTAAAATAGTATGGAGATATGGATTTAATTATTTATATTTGTTTAGAGAATATAAAAGAGTTGGAGACCAAAGCAATGGAAGAAGTCGCAATTGAAAGTTTGGCGCTAGTGCGCTACTATGCTATTAGATGTTACGGTGGGTGAAATTTTTCTAATTGCTTATGACCGTATCACCACTTCAAAAAATAAACTAACATGTAGTGTTGGTATTTTGAACCGCCAACCTCATCAAGCCTATGAAAACACTTAATTTTATTACTGCTAACACTAATATTGGCAACATTTTTTAGGTGAGGCCTATGCTTATTCTACTTATAATGTACATCCGCCTCTGCATATAAATACTTATGACAAGTAGAAGATGAAAGAAAGAGTCATCAAAAAATCTTAGAGATGAGAAAATGACAATTATAGAGAACTATGTACTAACAATGAGTTAATGTACAAAACAATCCATGATTTTGATAGTTCATAAGAACGAATGAAAGTTCAAATACATTAGAAATAAGCTAAAAAGGAAAAGAACATAAAAAAATGTACTTTAGTCTTCCGAAAGTCAGTTAACAAATTCAGTTAACACTTCTTCTAAAAACAACATTTAAAAGATTGGTACTTTAGTCTTCATTGTCACATATAAAAATCTTCAAACCATTAGGATCAGTAATACTCGAATGAGTTGCATACAATTGAGCATGACTAAAAACTAATTTCGAAAAACCAATCCAAACATTAGATAAAGATTGATCTTGACTCTTATTCATTGTCGGTATGTTTTCTAGATTAAATGAAATAGTATTAAACATTATATTGAATTCTTATTTTTTGAGCAATTCATTACTTGTTTGAGTCAGGGATACAGATTGTCCCCGACTCTTTTTATTTGAACAATTCATTACCGTTGATAATATCATCAAATTAAATTTAGAAAGTGATGTCAAGCCGAGCATGACTAATTTTCGAAGTGATACCCGTGCGATGCACATGAAGTGTAATTCTCATATCAAAAGCAAGTTTCTGAATAATATGAATAATACATGTAATTTAATTTTAGTACATAAGAACTCAAATTTCGTAATATAGTAATACAAATTGTAAATATACATCTAGCAAAAAAGAAATAAATAAAATATTTTCACAATAAAAGTTTTTTAAAAGATGAATGTTATAAATGCTTTACAAATTTCGAAAAACATCCTTCAATACAACATTGGACGTTATGGTGGTATTTTTTCTATATGTCACATATAAATATCATCAAATCACCGTCATACCGATTATTTTACAAAAAAATATTTATTTACAATGTCATGAAAATTTATTTCATGTAAAATACTCTGTAGTAAACATCTTTTTTAAAATCTTTTTAGTAGTTGACATGTCTAGAGAACAAAATCCCACAACCCAAACTCAACCTAAAACCCAAGTATAAAATACTTTCCCGAGCCTTAATCTCATTTATGCTGAATTGGCACAGCCTTCTCAACCTTCTCATCCCATTTTCTAGAGGGCCTCCATTTTTTATTAAAATAGTTAGCCCATAAAGAAAAATCGTTTCTATTCATAAAGTACAACCCAATTGAACCGTTTCACACAGTCACACACACGCTCCAGTACTCCACATCCTCGAATTTTTCTTTGCTTTTTGGAAGCCTCGAATCGGCAAACGGCTCATTGCTAATCTATAATCAACAATTTTCGAGATCTCGAGGAGATGATCGGAAAGAACGATTATCTGTGCGAAGTGCGATTTTTTATTTTTCCATTAGATTTTTAATCATAAATATCCCAATCCCATCCTTCATTCGGACCTTCTTCTTCTTCATCCAATTTTCCTCAATTTCCTTATTAACTTTGATAGTCGTATTCAGCCTTCAGAAAATCAGACCTTGAAAGGCTTCTAATTTCCATCGTATAGCTACTAAATTCCGAGCTTCAACCGAGCAGAGTTTGGGAGACAACTACACTACTAGTTCTTCAGAGTTCAAACCTTCATAGAGCAGGGCAGAAGGACACCAAGAACGCAGGGGCCCTACTCATCGACCAGTTCAATGCCCAATAATTGATTTTTTTTCTCTTAAACTCATCGACCAGGTGTTCTGGTTCCTACTTTTTGTTATTTGATTATTTCATTATTTGCTAATGGTTGTATTTGGATTATTTCAACCAGGTGTCCCGCTATTAACTTCCTACTTTTCTTCTTGGGCCGTCCCAAAATAATTTTCTCATTTCCCTAAATGGAAAGTTATCCTACATCAAAACAGTGTCAAACAATGCAAAACAGTGCCAAACAGTGTCTAAACAGTGCCAAACAGTGTCTAAACACTGTCAAACAGTGTCTAAACAGTAAAGTCAAATTTAATTCCTAAATGTGTGTGTAGGTCAAAGTAGGAACTTAATAGAGAGACGGAGGGAGTACTTTTTAATGTTAGAAACTAGGTTATTTCAATATGAAAAACATAACATATCTTGTCTAGCCCAAATTAAAGATGGCATTTTGATAATGTATTTGTAATACTTGAATGAGTTGCACTGTATTTAAGTATTATTATTATTATAAAATTTAAATGACCTTTTATTTTATTATTAATATTATATTACTGGTATGTAATGTATTTTAGGGCCTCTTGTTTTAATTTGAACAGGGCCTCCAATTTGTAAGGGCCGGCCCTGCTCTCTGATCATTGGTTACGACACTCGCACAAATCATAACAATGATTAATATATGGGGTACCAATCAGTAAATTACTTTGAAATTGAAATTTTTAAAATAGAAGCTTTTTAAAAACAAAATAGAAACTAAATATTGTTATGTTTATTAAAATAATCAAGAATACCATATGCTGATTATTAAAACAATTACATTCACAATATTGGTCTAGAAAAAATACCTTAAAAAACCGTTGTTTTGTTTAATTGTGGAAAAAATATAACATGTGTGATTAAAATATAACCTCTTTAAAATTTGATTGAAGATGTTTTTCATAGGACTAATTTTTTATATATGATATCATTTGATATGGTAAATATCTATTCTATGTGAATTTATTATTGACTAAGTCTGATCAGATCGAATATACTATGATCTGGTTTGATCAAATTCGAGATTGAGACTGAAATCAGTCTACTATAATCCATAAAGAACTACGTAGTATTAGACTATCTCATGAGACTTTTTTTATATGGAGTATACTTTTCAGCTAGGTTTATAATTATCCTCATTATAGCTCCCGCATTATTAATTTAAAATGCATATTATTTCATACTGACTATTTTATTTTAATATAGCTAGAAGTATATAAAATCTTATATAAGCTTTAAATTATAAAAAAAAAAGGTTCTTGGTCCATTTTTTTTAAAATATTAAATTGTGATAGTAAATCAATATTCTCAAACCTTATTTTTATCCAACTCCAGGCGAAAATCTAAAATAGGCTCTTACACATTCGTAAAAAGGAAAAAGAAACGCTCATATACTTCCATCCTTTTACCCCCAATTACTCTCCTTTTTCCATGTGCACAATATACCCCTTGTTTGCCCAACACACTTCTTCCACGTTCACGAAGCAGACAAACCACCATTGTTTCTCGGAGGCGCGTTTCAGTCAACTGCATCCTTCACCAGTCAGCTGCACCCTTCTAATTAGTATTTCTATTCTGTCTTTTCTTTAATCTGACTAATTTCTAATAATCTTGATCTTTTACAAACACCACTTAATTTTTTTGAAAAAAACTTAACTTACATAGACATGTGTAAAAATAAATAAAAATTTCGTTCTTCAATACCCATAGTAGAAATAGAATTACAAAACTCGGCCCGAGTGGTAGCAAGGGTGGGGGCCGCTGGCCAAAAAAATAAAACCTTTTGGGCCCCTAAATCAGCCTAATTTAAAGTTTATTAGGTCCAATTCAACAAAAGCCCAAAATTAACAAAATTGTACTCCATTTTGGTTGGCCAAATTTCCTTTTTTGGCCGTCCCAAAAAGGTTGGCCATTTCCATTTAAAGTAAGGAATATGTGGCTAAAGTTAATTCTCTCTCCTCTGCACAAATTTTAACCACACAGTTTTTACTTTATTAATCCACGTGCAAGTTAACATTGGCCAAAGATTTTGGGACGGAGGGAGTAGTACTTCGACTTCAGGAAGCCAAGTAGACAAATTGGATCTAACTCATCGACATCTAGTATCCGTCTCCTTGAACGGCCGAAGTGTCCAGGACTTCAGGAAGCTAAGTTGCCGACTCTCTTCCCGGCGTCTCCCGCCGGCCAGCTCCAGGACGCAGCACGGCAGCACGTCTCATCAGTTGTCTCCTTCTCGCCTCACGCCCGTCACCCGGTCGCCTCACGCCCGTCACCCGGTCGCCTGCACGCCATTTACCGGCCCTTCGGCGGTTCCGCCAATCCGCCCTTCTCGATCAATAGTCACCTTCCGTAGTCCCGGTATTCCTCCATCATTCTCGTTATCTATATTGATTAGTTCAGGTATTTTCCCAATTGATCCCCTAATTTATGCCAAACTTCTATCCCTTTCATATTTAGACCTAGGTGGTGCATGTCTGTTTCGGTTTCTCTATACGGCGGCTTGAGCACAGTTAAAGCTTGAGTCTTGAATTCAAAATAATTTACATGGGTAATCTCTAGAAGATATCATTATTTAAAATTTAATTAGTATTCATGCATGGACAATCTCTTTTCAATCAAAGGTTCTAAATGGAGGGTTTACACTGACACACGTCTATTACTCTGCTTACATATAATGAAAGGTACTAACTGTAGTAATTAACTACTATAGTATGTATAACAATATTAATCTAATTCATATGTAATATACGTTGTATGTAATATATATGTAATATGAAATCATGTAAAAGTGTTATAATGCTTGATACTCCGTAGATTTTTTTGTAAATCATAGATATATCTATTCTAAGACATTATTTTATAATTTTCCATCATTTGCAATAGAGCCAAAGATTCATTATTTTTTGGCTTAGAATATGATGGAATAAAGCAAAATGGCTCACTAAACTGTTTGCGCTTCTTTGTTATGAAGCAGCAGTCAGTCCATGCAATTTTGGACGCGATTTTCACTACGGGTCATCTGGAAACAGTCTCTCTGTGCTTGTACAGGGGTAAGACTGCGTACATCCGACCCCCCCTTACCCCACTGTAGGTGGGAGCCTTTGCGGCACTGGGGTAAATGAAAATGATGATGTTTTATGGAGCTGAGATTAAAAGTGAGTTGTTATAGTTCTAAATTGAAGTGTATTCACAGAGTTCAATCTTTACTGTTTGAACTTGTAAACATCCCATTTTGTTACAATTTATAATCACCCATATATACATTTATACACACCACAGTACCCATATATCTATATAACACTAAATTGAACTATATGTCTCTTGAAATAATAGAATTCAATCTTCACGGTTTGAGCTTGTAACTTCAAATGTTGGTAAAGTTTATAATCGGCAATAACATGTACAGTTTAAGCTGCATTGTATCAGCTTAAAACATAAATTCCACAAAAAGTAAGCTGTCAACAATTTGTGATTCTGCATAAATCAATTTAGTGTTTTACCTTTATCACTGATGATATGCACAACTCTTTTTCTCATGTATTCTTCACTCTCTGTAAGTGTCACCATTTGATTTCCCCCCCCCCCCCCCCTAGCAGATCTGCCAAACGATGGAGTTGCTTAAGATATGCAAAATAAGCTACTTTCAATGAGTAGAAGGTATAAATCCCTCGACCATCTAAAGCTTAAACAGTAATTTACACAAAGCTCCAAATTAAACTATTTGAAATATTTATGTTTTTAAGAATTGAACCTATACTATTATACTTGAGAAAACATATCTACGGTTTGAAACATGCATCCACTTCATTTTAATAACCTAAATTCTACTTTTCATAGTTATTTTCCAAAAAAATGTCTAATTAACATTTATTAGCGAAAGTGACTTGCCATTATTTCTTAAATATATCTAGCGTGCAATTTGTGTTTTATATTCTTACACATGAATTATTATTTTTACTTTTTATGCAATTGTAATTACATAAAAAGTTTCCTTTTTACCCTTGGTTACTCGCTTCTTACAGACCTATACTTATATTATATACTCAAAAAGTGAATCTATATTTCTTCTCTCAAAAGATGCCTGAAAGTGAATCTGTATTTTTTAATTGAAAGCTAATAGAAACCTATATACCTACATACATCAAACAAAAACTATAGATTTAAACATGCATCCTTTTCATTTTAATAAAACTAAATTTTACTTTTCATAGGTAATAGTTGTAATAAATGTCTTTTTACCCTGAGGGCCTGTTTGGTAGTGGCTGCAATAGCTAAAATTTCTGATTTGGCTTAAATGGCTGAAAGTTTTGAAGTGAAAGTGTTTGGTATTATTTTGGCTGAAGTGGCTGATTGAATGTATAATTACCATAAAGGGTATTAATATTATTGCACCATTAAATAATGTGTCTAAGTGTTTCAATTACCAATTAAATTAAAAAATGTTGAACGGGGTGGATACTATAATACGAAGTACTGTATATAATACTCGTATTTGTTGAAAGGCAGTGGCTTGAATCTAATATGCAGTACGAAGTGCACCCAGAAAATGATAAAAATGTCTTTTAATAGCTTAATAGTAGAAAAATGAATTTCAGCTGAAAAAGTAGCAATATACTTACTTTTTGAGCTGATCAGAAAAAACAGCCAGATCAGCCCATTGCATTAGTGTTTGGTTATTTTTATAGATTTTAAGGCTTATAAGCCAATTTCTAGTCCCCCAAACGGGCATTATCATTCACTTGAGCATAGCGACTTGCCACTTTTTCTTAAACATTTTAAATCCAATCTGTGTTTCTTATACTTGCAAACAATATTATTTCAAGTTGCTTACCCGCTTCATACAAAACTAATTCTGATATTACAAATACATACCTATTTTTAAGCATACAAATCTTGGATACAATCATGCCTTCTCATACCACTTACTTGATAATGACACATTGACAGTTCTCCATCTTGAAGTAGCTTAAAGTAGCTTGATGATGGTTCCGTGTGCTCTTTGCTCGTTATATATACTACTCCGTATATACATATATATGGTCTTATACTCTTATCCTGCACCAAGACAATAAATACCGAGTATGTGGTATTGGTAATTTCAATAGTCATTTTGAAGATCACTCCAATTTATTACGGAGTATTATTCTGTTTTGTAAAAATTGTGTTTTAGTGGGATTCTATAAGTCACTTCAATTATTATTCTACAAATTGTACTCCGTATATACTATATTGGGAATTTAAAAAGTTACTTCAATTATTGCTCTAGCATTTATTATTGCTCTACTCAATAAAGCTTTTTTAGTATTCTGTGCGGTTGTCTTCTAATACCTATTAGGAGTGCTAACGTAGAATTGCTTTAAAGATGGTGCACTATCCCGCCCAAAATCCAACCAAAACTCCCCCACACTTTTCTGTTTTACTATATAAATATAGATTTAACGGATTTAATGAGAATAACGAGTAAATCGTTCAACTATTAAGTCATGTTTGCACGACTTAATTAAAAATATGGCTTAATTATTCAGTAAAAATGACTTAATCATTAAATTGTAAAATAATAGTCCTTCCCATTAATACGTTTACTAATGATAATCTTATTTGTCAACTTCATCTTTGTTATAATCCTATTTACGGAATTTTCTTCACGAACTATATATGTATACATATCCTTTTATTATTATAGGAAGTATATAAGTTTGCAATTGTATCCTTAAAATAGAAAATGATAAATTCTTTTTACAAGATTAAACATGAATTCAGGGAATAGTTCTTGAGTACAGTTTTTTTTTTCTTTCATAAATGCAGCTTCACTAGTATAATTGTATATCTAATAAACACCCCATTCCTCAATATGCCCAGAAAGCCCCAAACCTCCAGTGGTGAGAAAAAATTGCAATGGTTCGTAAGCGATTTCAAGATGCTAAAACAGGTAAGCACATTTTGCTGTCAGCTTTAAACTTGTAATTTTGTTGCCCAAAGTATCAAAATTGTATGGATTAAGCAGTGGCAGAAGGGTCCCTGAGCTTGAGTGATACTCCGAGTATTTTTTATCTAATTGCGCACCAAGGGTTTGATGAAAGTCCTAAACTAAGGTACATATTTGCAGTTATGCAACGTAGCTGATCCATGTGATGGTTTTTTAGGGTTTGCGATGCTGAAATCATTCCGCACTGAGAAACTACTGGATAAAATAGGGCTAGGAAAGGAGGATTATTACTTCTGGCAGCAATTGAGTAAGGCTTTGCTCTGCACTTATACAATAGCTGGCTTGGCATGGCTATATAATGAGACGTCACCGCTTGGGTGGTGGACGCTGAAACCAAAGCCCAAGGAGGAAAGGGAGTTGGCCCACCTCTATGAGCGGCGGAGGTTTCCATATCCTGGTGATGAAGAAGCCATGGAGGAGTTTATTGCCAATGGTGGGATGATCGGTACAACCATTGGGCCCAAGGGGCTTATGGAATCAGATAAAGATTCTTATAACTATCAGAAAGCTTTGCAGGACAAAAAGATGGAGCAGGAAGCCCTCAAACTCTGGGTGAGGATGAGGAATGAAGTCATCTCTGAACTCCAGGAGAAAGGATTTGATGTCGAATGATAGAGGTGCTTCCCATTCTTACATAGCTATACTTATTACAAGCAAAAATATTGATATTTCTATTAAATCTTTTGCGGTCGAGTTTGTCTCTTTGTGGTTGAGATGCACTATTGCTATGTTTTTGGATCAACAAACTGAAACTTTTTGTATTATTATTACTCCATATTATAAAGAAATAAATGACAATACCATGATTTGTGTAGTTAATGATGCAGTAACTAGTTATATTTGATGAAAAACCACAAAGAATTTGTTGCACATTGGTCCAATTAGGAACTACGTATGCCTAACAGAAATATTGGCTATCTAAGAACTCAACAATGATTAGATCGTCAATAGGATGTCTTGTATTGTCTTCAAGTGTGGTGTTGTGGTCTTAGATCCTAGAAACTAGAAAGGTGGCCACCAAAGCCTATTTGTACACTCTATTGAGGTAATGCGTCGTGCACTCATGCACTCTACATGAAGGTAATAAAGCTAGTAAGCGTGTCAAATTCTGGGAGCTTGTTGTGGGTTGAAACTGTCAGGGTTTTAAGCTACAATGCATGTTCCAGTGGCTGAGACATACTGCTGAGTTGGATGCCAATCCTTCATATCTAGCCCATCTGTGAGTTGTGCCGTTTGGACAAAAAAGATCACAATTTGTGCAATTCAGATAAGTGCCAGATGTTGTGCCTTGGTGATGTACTGTTCTGCTGTTAGCTGAGTCCAGCGGCTTTAGGTTCATTATTTCATGGGTAATTCTGGTTTCATCCGGAGTACAAAATTTGTACACAAATGTACACAACCTATGTACACGGGGAATTTGAGCAGACAATTATTGATTTTTTTTAAACGAACTGTTTGTGTATACAGGAAACTAGGAGGAAACTAGGAAACTAGGGGGAGTCTGTACATTTTGTGTACTAATTTTGTGTACAAATGTAATTTTACTTGTTTCATTCATTAGTTTTGTGTTTGTGGAAGTAGTTTCATCCTGTAATTGATTTCAATTGATTTCAATTGTGCTGCTATACCTTTTTTTTAGTACTAAGCTTGTGTTTTTTTTACTTCTGCTCGGTAATCTGAATAAAGTACACAACTACCCGTAGTATTCTGCAGCTTTTTGTTACCACACAACATAAATTATGTGGTCATAAAACCGCCAAGGCACTACCCAGTTCCCAATTGGAAATATTTTTCCTAATTAACTGTGTATGTAAGAAGTAAGAACTGGTACTTCCTCCGTCCCAAAAAATTGTTCCCGGTTTCCTTTTTGGACCGTCCCAAAAAATTGTTCCACTTTTGCCTTTTGGAAAGTTTTGTGTGACTTATATTCATTTACAAAATCTCACATTACGGAGATTATGCTAAAAGATGACAAGACTAAAAAATCACCTCAAATACAATGTCAAAGCCAACAAAAAAAGTATGGTGCTTTGGATTTTGTAATTCTTTGTTTATGTCAGAAGAATTTATCCTTAGGAAACATGAAAATTATGATAGAAAATTTGAGAGGATATGATAAGAAAATTTGACCGGCATTTTATGAAGAAAATTGATTTTCACACAAACAAGAATAAAAAATTTGTCTGTATCACAGACATTTTCAAATTTCTCATTTTAAAATTGTCTGTATAATAGACATTTTATGAAAATTCTCATCTAACATGTCTGTGATACAAACAACTTTTTATTTTTGTCTGTATGGAAATTGATTCTTAATAAAACGCCGATCAAATTGTTTGTGCACAGACAATTTGACCGGCGTGTAACCGTGTACACGAAACGGGACTCAACAATATATGAGTATATCTCTACACTAGTGTTGGACTCGGCCCGGTTCGGGCCTGGGCCCGGCCGGGCCTCGGGCCAGGAAAGGGAGGCCCGAGCCCGAACCGCCGGTGGCCGGTTCCGGTCCCGGTTCCGGGCCATACCGGGCCGGGCCGGGCCGAACCGGCCCAATTAATTTCTTTTTTTGTTCTCCTATTTAATCCCCTACCCCTCCCCCTCAACCCCAAACCATCCCAAACCACCTCAAATGGCCCAAAATACCTAATCCAACCTAAAACTTAAAAAAATTTCAAAAAAAAAAAAAAAATTAAAATCCGGCCCGGACCGGGCCCGAACCGGCCGGGCCGGTTCACCAAAACCTGGGCCCGGGCCCGAACCGCCCAGCAGCCGGGCCGGGCCGAACCGAACCGGTGGACCCACCGGGCCCCGGGCCGGGCCGGGCCAAACAGTAACCGGGCCGGGCCGGTTCCGGGCCGGTTCCGGGCCGGGTGGCCCGGCCCGAGTCCAGCACTACTCTACACTAATTAGATTCAATATTTTAATATTGTTTGGTTCAATTGCAGACATTAACGGATTTCGATAACTCGTGAGATTTACTAGTTTCGGAAAGTTTATTGCAATTGACGAATCAGTTTGATTCACAAAGATGCAACTTTAGACAAACAAAGCACTGTTCAGATTTTATAATTTTATATTTTACTCGGTTATTTATGAATGATAAAATTAAATGTGATGTTTCAGAAGCAGGGGCTATGTAAATAATTGAGTTTTGAAGTGTTTGGGTTAAAGTAAATAACCATTAGATATAACCTTTAATGATATTTGAGGTATTTGAGGTATAGTACCATCATCCCTCTTGGTCTTGTTTTGGATTATTTCGTTTAGCTGAAATTGTAATATACAGAGTAATTAACCCACTTTTAATTATTTTTATATTAATATTTATAATTTAAATTTACGTAATTAAAAGCAGCTATAAAAATTAAATACTGTTTTTTAATGACTCAAAGAATACTGTTAAATTGCAGACCTGAATTTTGAATTATTTAAAAATTGATTTGATAAGATATCCTCCATATCACATTAGTTGCAACATAGGAATTTATTCAATATTCATGTACTCTGCCTTAATTACATTTTATTTATTATTGTGAGTGAATTATTAATTTTGAAAAATATTGTTGAATTCGTCTAATTATTATGTTTCATAATCTGATTTTTAATTATTTTTTACAAATGCAAAATTAAATATAATAATGGTCAAAGTTCTGCGTTGCAAACGTGGAAAAGGAAATGTTGAAACTTAAAAAGTACTTAAATTGATGCACGACATAAATAAATAAAACAAAAAGAAATCAGTGGGCGGAAATACTCTAATCGAACAATAAAACAAGATTGGAGCTAATTCAGCACTGCATATATAACCGTAACCCACAAATTGGAGCTAATCTCTAGTCTTTATTGAACTAAAAAAATTACCAAATAAAAATAAAGAGAAATTCGGGAGGAGAAAAGGAGGAGACTTTGGAGGCAGTTAATGGTTTCCTTGCAGAGAACAACCGTTTCATCGATCTCAATTAACTATCCGCACCCTTAAGTGAAAGCTTTCGCTTACTAGAGACACTGAATGAGAGAAACTCTGCAATATATTAATCCAAGATTTGATTTTTATTGATTTATTTTTCTTGGGTTTCTAGATATCAGATAATAATCTGATTAGTTTTGATATATGTTGAGTGTAAAGATCAGATCCTGGATTACAATTGAGGTTCTTGGGAACTTAGAAGCTGGGAAGTGATGAAAATGATCACTTCTGTGGGGAGGAAGTATGAAGTAGAGATGGGGTTAGAGGTAGTGAGGAGCAGCAGGCAGTCATTTGGGAGAAAGAGAATTGAGTTGTTAAGTAGTGGTTTAGAGATTGATTATTATGTAATTAACAGTAATTGTAGTAAACAGATAAAGAAGCATTGCAGGAAGGTTTTACCAGAGAAATCTTCATCACCTTTGGAAGCCTTGCCTGAAGACATTCTGGTCAGTCCACAACAACTGCAGTATAAGCTTTTAAGCAATTGAATTGTCTTTTTCATCATTTAATGAGGTTGATAATAAAGAAAATGCATGAGCTTTCTCTTGATCTGCTTCTTGTCTAACATGCAGATTAGGATCATATTTGGTGTTGATCATGAGGATTTGATCAGCCTGTTTCATGTATCCAAGGCTATTCGACAAGTGGTAAGCTCTGTTGAATATAGGGGTAGACTTTCTCACAAAGTAGCACATACACTTCATTAAACTCATGTTTCGCCAATTTGAAACATATCGGAAACTCGGAAACTTCAAATATCGTTTCGGATCTGTTTTCATAATTTCAAAGCATTGGGAGTTCATTGTCATAATTCATTAGGTCATAGAAACTTTGATCAAGTTTCATTTTTTTCTTTTTTATTAGTTCTTTCAATGGAATTTGATGTTGGTTCATGAAACTTGTTATTTTATGCATCTATTTTCTTTATAGCAACATGAGCATGAAGATATTATTTCTATATAAAAATGTACACACACATAAACACACAAAATTATTTATATTACATAGTATGTCATTATATTTATTATGTCGTAAAATTTATTTCACACATGTTCCATATTGACATATTCTATTTTCTTTTTAAAACACAGTTTCTCGCGTTTTCTGTTTTGTGTTACCGTTTTGCATTTCCTTTATTACATTGCTTTCCTGGCCTTATCGGCTTGGGTTTTAAGGTATATGATATGATGTTGTGTTTTGTCAAATTTTTGTGTGGACGGGTTAAATGGTGGTGATAATGACATTTTTTGTAATGGGGCAGACATTGATAGCAAAGAAATGGCATTTTGAGTATAACACGCCAAGAAAGACTATCGACTTCGAAAGCTTCGTTGGTACTATGGAAGAGCCAAATGCTCCAAGGCAGTCAAGGATTCCAAAGATTCAGTTAAGCAACAAGAGGCTGGATGACATATCCATGGTCTTGTTTCCTTGATGTAAAAAGGAAAATGGACTTGATCAATATTGCCTTCAGATCACAAAACTTTTTTAGGGTGGGGTGAAGAAGTTGTTTCTCGTTTTTTTCTTCAACCCCTTGTTGAAGATAGATATATCATACTGGTGCATTGTAAGAGTGTGATGTCTTAGAGATTTTGTTGAGGGCTGTGGGCAATGGGCATTGGCTATATCTTTTATATTTACTAACTTATGAAATATACCGCTGGTTACAAATTGTATATTACTAGCATTCTCAATCCGTATTAGAACTCAAGCTACTAGGATGAAAATTGTACCAGAATTTGGGTGTGTTAATTGAGCTAGCTGCTCATGGGCCTAATCGAGTATAGTTTTCATATTAATAACTGAGAAGATGTATTCAAATTCGTGTTATTGACCTACTGCCA